ATTAACTGCCATCCAAAGTACAAAATTTGGACAAGAAAATGCATTCCTGTTCAAAGTTACTTGCAATCGAACAAATGCAAAAAAAAAGAAAAACACCAGTTTTGCAAAAGAAACTGCTGCAAACGCCGTCACTTGTTGAAGATGCATCAGCTTCGTACAGCAAAAATACTGGGCAAATGCACAGAACATCTGATGAACGCGTTTTTTTAACTGCAAAATTTTACCGCATCTTGCCGCAAAATTTCAACACTGACACAAGTCACGGAGTCAAACCCTCCATCAGCCTGGTTTTTGAGCAATCTCCGATAGAAGAAGCCATCGACAGCCATGCTACACTACCGAATGACTGCTGTTGTTGCTGGAGGCGCTGTTACAATCATGCCATTTCTGTTTTTAGCCAAAAATGAATACATTCTGACTTTCTGATGAATTTCAACTTCTTATTCTTCTTCATCAAATGCCTTTATTAGATCCTCCTTCTCCCCCCCTCCCCACCCCTTCCTCGCTTTTCCCACATACTGCTGATAGATGGTTTGGATTTCTAGGGAGAAACACAACTAACAACTATTAGGCAAAAAGTCATTATCGACAAAATTGGTAATACTTTAAAAAAAAAAACCTCTAATTAATATACAAAACAATAAATCATAAAAACCCGCAGTGGTTCTTCGTTGCAAACTATCACCCTGTCAAATTGCTGCTTCAGCAAGCCCGTAAATTTCTGTATTATTTTCATTAATGTCAGGCGAGTTTTCCTGAACACTGAGTTTTCGCTGCTCGTGCTCCTGCTGCTCCTGTTCCTGCTGCCAATTTCGCCATCCATGTGTTTCTGAAGTAAATTTCACTGCATATCCTTCAAAAAAAAAAACCCTAAAATTAACGAGAATAAAATAAATGTGAAAATTAACCAGAAAAATGTATGCCGAAGTCAAAACTCCTCAATATTCATTTTACGAAAGGCGAAAATAAAGTCTTAATGGTAACAAAGCCTGCCAACAGCAATCATCCGTTGAAAAAGTTATCAATGATAGTCCTTTTTCGGGGACTGATTACAAGCAAACTGAAAGGAGTTTGACCCCCTTGCATGCGCCAGTACCAATTTACCATCGAAACGAATAAAGTGATTGCAGAATGACTACTTTGCGCCAATGACGGTGTCGAAATCATAAAACTCACAGTAATTCTTTGTTGCAAGCTATCGTCTGCGATCTGCGCGAAAGCAAAATTCGGCCATTCCCTTCCAGGAAGTATAAATGCAAGTGAATGAAGAGGAGCAAAAGGACGGGCAAACACAGACTAGACAAAATTGATTGAAAAATTTCACGTATTTAAAGCGTTCCTCTAATTAACACTTTTATTCCCAAAATCTTGATACTCAGAATCTTAACTTAACAAAAGAAAATTTTCACAGTTCAAAACTATACCGCTGTTGAGGATTTCGATCGACGAGAGAAATTCCGTGCCATCGAAACCACCGAGCAAATAGATTTCTTGGCCAGGAGTTACAATCGCTCGCACATTAGCACGTGAAGTGGTAAGAGGTGGCCCGGAGCGCCATTCCCCGGATGGGTTGTCCAAAATTTCAACCGAATTCAAAGATTGCACTCCATCGTGTCCACCAATGACATATAAAGAATCTGAAGAAGCACTGCTGTTGCTTTGCTCCCCTCAGAGACTCGCTGCTAAAGATCGCTTAACGAAAAAAAAAAAGCTAACGATCTGCAGACATATACCACAAATTGATGGGCAACTTTTTGGGACGCTATCAGAAGAAACCAATCAATCGAATACGGCAAATGACTGTTTTCTATTGCAAGGATTCTTTGAGTGGCAAGCTGAAGGTAACCCATCTTCCAGCGCCACAATTTCATCATCAAACGAATCAACAAATCGTACAGGATTCGAAGCAGAAAAAAAAAAAAATAAATGGCCAAAAAAAAAGAAAAAATAAATGGCCAACGCACGGGCTGCCCGTGCGAAGATGCGTTTTTTGCACAGTTCTCCGCAATTTTTGCCGTTACCGGCATCGGTTTTTTTCGGCAGATGCTTCTAGCTAAACGAATTGAGACTGGCCGCCAGGACCGTCAGGAAACATCCCCTTAAAATTCCAGTTCTCTAACATCGCTGTTTCCCGAGTTGGCGATTTACCCACAAAAAACTTTCACGGGCCCGTATGTGAGAACCACGCATACCCGGGGACTGAGTTTGAACTCATTAAGGTCTACATGAA